ATATATTAATTGACAATATATTGATAATTGTATTTTAATATAATTTTATTAAAAATAAAATTTCTAAAATATTTAAAAATTTAAGAAAATGCAAGGTATGTTTCTGCTAGAAAACTTTTACTTGAACTTGTTAATTATAAAAAATAATACTCTATATAACTGCATAAAGTTATATGATACATAAAAATATTGTTGATTTGCAGAAATTTCTATTATTTATCTTATTCTGAATTTTTTAAATTATATTATACGGTAATATTAATAAAATTAAATAAGATTCAAAAATTTTGTTTAATCATATTTTAATTACTCCTTTTATTATTTAGTCTCAAAACTTTAATCAGATTTCAATTTATAAATTATTTCCTTGTTTAGGACAGAAATTTTAATATTTAAAATTTGAAAATATTTGGATAGTTTCATCATCATCAATCTATAAAGACAGTTAGAAATAATATGATATGAAAATAACTTTTTTAGGATAATTCACTTATTAATAATTGAGTTATAGCAATTGCCAATATTTTATACATTCATAAATTTAAAAAAAAATCCAATAAACCACAAAATGATTAATCCTGATAAATTCAAATCATTTAATCTGAATAAACAAACCTTTTGTTATCAATCATTCAATAAACAATTTAAAAAGAAAGTTTAATAATAATAATAAAATACCATATTAACAAATAAAATAAAATTATATGATAAATTTTAAAGATTAATTTGTAATTTGATAAACTAAACTGTAAGGATTACAATAAGGAATGTTCAACTGGAAAGTGAGAGGAAAATATTTGTAAACAATTCAATTATTGCAATTAAGACGCTTTAACTGCTATCCCGATCAATTAGTATTTGTTTAAATTTTTTCTCTTTTTATATTGTTAATATATCATATAAAATTATTAACTGTCACACAATTTAAGTATCAAACTGCCTATATTTGAGAATTATTTTTGTTCTTTTATATTAAATATTCATAAAAACTTTTAATATAAATTCACATTCAAAGGCAGGTTTAAGTTGGCTAATTTTATTAACTCTTCTTTTAAGTTTTTCTTTTTAAAATAGTTTTTAAAAGAAAAGTTCCTTATTTAGACAAAGGTTTATGGAGTAAATTACTTTCAAAGAATGAATGCCATGTGCCTAAAACAAAAACTACTTATTCTAAATAGTTGGTAAGATATTAACAGGTTATTCTGGAGAAATCAATAGCAGTACAGAAAATTAATATTTAAAAAAAAAAAAAAATTTCAATTTTTGTAGTCTGCTCGTAAGTGGTGTTCCTGATAAAAGAAAAAGACACAGTCGTGTTAAAAGCGTGGTAAAATGGTAAACAGAGATAATTGAAGTTCACATGGGGAAATTTTGCGTAAGTACGTAAGCGTTAAATTTTGTAAAAGGTGAAAAATTTCTTATATTTAGAGAAGAGAATAAAAAAGTCTTCTCCGTTCACCAAATTTCCGACCTAACCAGACACGACAAATCGAAAAGTTGAGTCGACACGACTAGTCGATCACGGCGGCCGAACCGTGTATAGAAAAAAGGCGAAAAGCGTTATACATAAAACACATCGGTTTACCTCTGACAGGAATGTCTGTGCCGCTTTCTGTGCTCCGACATGTAACAAATATTCATACACGTATAGCGCTAACCTGTAAATATACAAGAAATAAGGGAAATTAAAATCGGTGCCATTCTTTGCCCGCCACCCGCCACCCCTACGCCACCGACTTGGAATGCCCTTAGCTACACAGCCCGGGGCTTAAACAGTCACGAGTCTGGATTGTACGCCTTAATGACAATACATTCGAGTGTTTATTTCTGATTCGGGACATTATTTGAAAGCGTAAAAGAGCGGTACCGACGGGTTTTATACGTTTAAAGTTATAGTACGAAGGGATTGTTTCCATGCCAACCCGTAACGCCATGTTGGTGTGGCACAACTGTTAGAAGAGCGCGCAGTTTCGCTCCAACACTTCCAGTCAAATAAGAGGCCTCGCTGGTGGGTTTTTGTTCGCCGGCGTTAGTCTCTGTGCCTACCGCATCGCCTTGTTTAAGTCCGTTACGCGTTATGATCGTTAGTAAACTCTACTTACTTTTCTCTTGCTTGAGCGTCGGAAGGTACGGTTGAGCTTTTCCCTTTAGCGTACATGCTGTGAAGTTAAACTGTCACGCACCTGTCAAGACATTCAGGACGACACCGACCCTGTTGCCATAGTAACATCAATTGGGATCTGTCAAATGCGGCTATGTGATTGGACTCAACCTCCCGGACGCGGCGGTGCCTCGTACTGTGACGTCACAGAAAACGAACCTTCCTCCTCTGTGACGTCGCTGCGCAGGTTAAATACAATTGGTCGGAGCGTTTTCTTACCAATGGTGGTGATATCGTAATATATCGGTAACGTACGGGATATAGTAGATTTTTAAGCTACTTTTAAGGTCGGAATAGTTATTGATGAACGAATATATAAATGGGTCAGTTGTGTTTTGGTTGTGTTTTTTTTATCGATCGTGTTATGAAATTATGTTTAGTTATCGTGTTAGGGGTGAGTGACAGTGTAAGGAATAGCTGCTAAACTGGAGCTACCAGTAAGGCCGGGTGGGAAAGTATCACAAGGCTAGCTGCGCATAGGGCGAAAAGTTTTGTCCAGCCACTTTGTTTGGGTAATAGTGTTTGTGGAATGCATCAATTTGTCAGCCTTTGTAATTACACTCGTAAAAAGCATCTTTAAATTCATAATTAATCCACTTTCGTTTTTTTTTTACAATCTTTACGCTCAGAGATTTGTAATTCGAATTTAATCAATTCATACTTTCCTTAAAAATCTCGGCATCATAATTACAAATGTGTTTTAATGGATTCAAGGTTATAATGTCTTATCGAAGTTTAACGAAACAGGTGCATCAATCCCGAATGGATCCTCAACTCACAACTAGATCATAACACTTTACCTGTAGGCTATTTATCTTTGAAGAGGAAAAGGAAACTTCAGTTTTTAGTTTATAAGTTTTTTCAAATTCTTTTTACTTTATAACGTCCATTATATTTTGATTTTAATGTTATTTTATGCGTCTTAAAGATTATGATAATCTTTTTTAATGAATTTAATCGATAAATCTATAAATAATTTTTTTTAGTAAAAAAAGGAAAATTGTAACTCTATGACTCAAGAATATTTATAAACCCAAGAGATTGCCTAATGCTTGATTTTCAAAATTATTTTCTTGTTTATTTCTCGGTGAGTATTTTTTTCCTCGGAGAAACAAGTTTATTTTTCTTTTAAGCGATGCTAAACTTAAATTGATTGGTGGAGTTATCACTGCAAACACTTCGCAGAAAGATAAGGTGCAACGTAAGAAGAAAAATAAAATTGATTTTCTAGACTGCCCTTAAGTTTATAGGCCTACAAAGAGAAATATAGTTCACTCCCGAAAATTTCTATAGATTATTCACTCCTAAAAATTACGTGGAAATAAAAGATAACAATTACTTCACGTGTTGCTTTTATCTTCCACTTGATTTCAACATTTAAGAAAAACATATTTATTATAAATTCCTTAAGTTTAATACATTGAATATAAGCTAAAGTCATCTCAAACATTATATTAAAATCGTTAAATAAATCTAAATAATAATTAATCTGAAATAGTGGGCAACTTAGCCATATATTGTACTTTAGTTTGTCAATACCTGTTTAACATGTCACATCATATTTCTTCAGCAGCATTTATTATTTCAGTTTGTCGATAGCATCCTTTTTAATGACAATTGTTGTTGTTTGTTATCGAATTTCTCCCTACGCGACATAATTTATCCTGAAAAGAAAGCAAAAGCGTGCTGTTATGACGTCACGGTTACGATAAAATAGGTCAAGTCCTAAAGCTAAAGCTGAGGTTCTAAATAACAGAAATTTTCCTCGTCTGCATTATTCTTTTTAATTATACGAAAAATTATAAGCTCATTGACTTTTGTAGTAAACGAATTTTAAATTTTCGGTTGAATATATTTTGAAAATCTTTGTAAATTATTACAAAAATTGGCACGTTTCTATATTTATGAAGTTGTTTGTTTATATTGTGTTTTCTTTCCGTGCAATTTGTCCTTAATTTGTATACAAATCAAAACGCTAGTCTGAGGTAATCTTAAAACGGCAATGATAAAAGGGATCCATGCCAGGTAAGCTGCCTACAGTCTTCGGAGAAACGTTATTTTTCAAAGATCATAACTTCCTGTCAACTTATATTAAATATAATAATTATCGTAGGTCTATATTAAATGTCGAGTTAACCAACTTATCTACTTTATGTGTAGTTCATCGTTATACGAATGATCTGTGACATAACCTTATCACGCTAACGAAATTTATAATCTAAGTCATGAAAATAATCACAAATCTCTCAATAAAATTTACAAATTTCAATAAATAAAACTTCATCTTAAGCTTTATTTTTTATGTTAATTGTTACAAAGATTACTGAAACAGAAATTGTCACATTTTAATACTGTATCATTTCTTTAGATTAAAAATTATTATTTATAATTTATTCATATTTAATTAATTTACTATTCTGTCTGAAAAAGTACTGTATAATTTATTTCAATATATCCGTATTATTGGTCAATTTGAAACAATTCTAATTCGAACTTTAAATTTTGCTATAAACAATAAACTATAGTTTAACCATTTAGTAGTTCAGCACTTTGAATTTCAAAAATTGTATTATTTCTATTTACATGTAGATTTTGTTAACTTCTAAATCAATATATTCATCGTTTCCATGGGCTTGCTTAAAATTTGTGAAATTTTAAACAGAAAAAAAAAGCAGAAAACACACTATTATTCTCCATTTAAGACAGCAACCCGAACGTCTCTGTCCCGCAAGTTAAAGGCCTTTCAGTCCACGTATTTATTATTATATGGAATGTAGAGCGCAGAAAAATTTGTAGTCTGTCTCACTGCAAACCCGTCTTCCCAGTTGCTTCATCAATAAACAGAACAGAAAAATATTCTAAACACTTACTTGGATTGAAAATTATAGAAAATATAAATATTCTACATAAGAATATATTTAAATTTATAAATTTTAATTATAATTAATGCAAATAACTATCTCACTGAGTTTAGAGGACCTACAGGATGTCCCAAATATCCGTCAGACGATCCGCCCCTGCCCTTAACTACGAGAAGCATCATTCGAAGTCGCAACTATGGAAATGAGTTAGGATGGATGGAATCTAATATCTCGGCCAACTCAGACTGAATTTATAATTTCTATAGATTAAATCAATTGTTCCGTGTAGCGATACTTGACTTGTAATGTCAATAAACTATTAAAACCGTGGACTTGAGACCGACGCTATACCTTTTAACTGGTTCATTCTCGTTTCTATTAAAATAGAGGATAACATCGTAACTCATCTATTAATATTCATAGAATTGTTGAAGAATTGTTCAAAGTCCTTTAATTGAAACTTTGTCGGATTCGATACTGATTTAAATTGAATTTTTATAGGAGAAATTTGTGGAAATAAAACCTAATGGTTCCATAATCAATTTTAATTTTATTACACTTCAAATAAACGAGGACAAATTTTTGTAGAGTATTGCTACTAGTCTAGCTGAGAATTAAATAAAGTCATTCTATACAAAACTTCAAGAAATTAACAATGATTTAAATTGTCCTAATCGTTTCGAAATACTACGTTAAAGCACGTGTAAACTTATGTTAAAATTTTTCATTTAACATAAGATTAGCTTATTACTTTGTCGATGTGATGAGTCGCAATTTATTTTACATTTTTTAAATAAAAATGTTTATTGAATTGCATAATATATATATTAAATGTGTAATAATTAAAAAAAACGAGTATCTGTCTAATCAATACAACTCCATTGATTAAATATACTTTTTAGTACGATATAATCATAGAAGCTATTTTTAGAGATAAAATCTCATCACAATACGGTCGGAAAAAAGATGAATGAACAAATAAAAATGAAGATAATTTATTGTTTAAAACTTCTTAATTATTTTATAATAATAAATTTAGAATTCGTCCAGAAAAGTTATAGACAAGAAAAGCAGGTTAGGCCTATGTTAATGCTTAGAAAGATTTTTTTTAAAGGAGCAAAAATATTATTATTATAATACATTTCTACATAATAAAAATTGTTGCTATTAAAAGTAAACAACATTCTATTCAGCACTAATACATATATATATATATTTTTTATTATTGTAACAAAGATTTTACTTTTCTTCTAGAAAATCCTATTCTTATTTTAAAAGTGAATGAAAATATGCCTAATGACACTTTCAGATTTAGCATAATGTTTTCCATCGTAAACTAATGAAAAATATATTGATTCGTTTCTCATAAACATCATTCCTAAGCAAATGTTGCATTTTGGTCAACAGTCCTCAATAAACAAAAGTTTTTGGCTGATCCACTGTCATTCGATCTGTCGCTTTTTCTGAATTACCTAACAGAATTAAAATTATAAAGCAATTCATTATCACCGTGATGACTGACATTAAATTAAAACTTCAATTAGCGCATTGCTTATTATTTACAGTTAACTTATAATTAAAAATCCATACACAACATTTTTTACAGTTATTTTAATGAATTTAAAGGAAAATAATCAATTAAATTCCTTTTTAATTTTATTCTACTCTTGGGGTGTTCTTTTGATATTTTTGTTTTGATTTTGATTGTCAGGTGGTTAATAAATTCCGCCAGAAACTAAATTAAATCAGTCATTAATTCTATGAAATAAGAACAAAATGTCGCATAAATATATAATGATCTGTCTACCATAATTATTCACTTTTTTCTCTGTTGCTTTATTGTTTAGGATAATTAATTATTACTTTTTTTAATTTATAAACATTAACTTTTGCGATTCTTCTTGCGAAATTTATTTTAGCCAACTATTAATGTAGCACTTTATACTCGTATATTTAATTCGTTGCATGCTGTTATGAGTTAACTACATTTATCTCTTCATACGCAAAACATTTAAACTGAGATTAATTTTTCAATATTTTGAACTTTTTTTTAACTGTTTAAAATATACTTTTGTTAAACTTATAGTTCAGAAAAGTATATATTATTATGATATGATCTAAGAATTAAAAAACTATATAACTTAAATGCTAATTTATATTCCTTATAAGTTCATATAAATAGCCTATATTAACATAAGTTAACTGAATTTATAGTGCTACATTTATTACCTTACTAAATTGCACATTTTACTTTTTTTAATTATTTATATTATTTGTGGTATTAAATTTTTCAACATTTACATATCTTATTAAACATTTTAAAATAAAATTTAAATGCAAAATCATCAAAAATAAAAATTGTTGATTGAAGATGAGCTAGTAGTTAATACACTGATAAGATAATTGACTTGGTTAAGATTAACCGAGATTATTGCTGTAAAGATTAATGGTCGATCATTATCCACTAGACAGTCATTATATAGTATTTCAGTGATCGTTTCCTGACCCTTACCTAATAACATCAATCCGGGTGCGGCAATGATGTGATACTGTAGCGCCTCAATATGCCATTAAAGGACTTCGAATCCCGTTTCCGATCCCTCCACATGTTCCATTACCTGAAAGGTTTTGTGTATCTAAAGTGGCTGTGGAGTGTATAAAGATTGCCCACTATAATAGGCCTAATACATAAGGATTTTATCCTCATATATTAGACCTATTACATGTATAGTCTTTAAATAACAGTTAAAG